GATTAATTTAGAAGCTCGTACGGAATTAGTTATAATAGATCGCGGTCGGCTAACCTTACATTATAGAAGAGCATGTCGTGCCATTTGCACCATTTATTGGGGATAATTTCATGCTTATGCAAGATAATGCCAGGCCACACACGGCAACAATTGTGCAGCAGTACCGTCAGGAGGTTGGAGTTCCTGCCATGGATTGGCCTGCGAGAAGTCCTGACCTCAACTCAATAGAACATGTTTGGGACATCATAGGCAGACGACTACGACAACTACCTAATGCACCAAACACATTAGATGAACTTTTTTGCGGTTGGTTAAATTTGGGATCAAATTGATGAAGAAGAAATCAGAACGATTATTCTCAGTATGAGAGATAGTTTTCAAGCAGTAGTAAATGCCAGAGGAAACAATACTCGATACTAGTACACGGTACTAGTATTTTCTTCAACTTTAAAAATTTATGACAATTTCGTCATTAATTTATAATGTTAGTTTGTTTAGATGTTTAGATTTATGATGTTATATTTTTAATTTCAATACATTTTTTGTAAAAAAGAAAATATGTTCTAAAACAACCATAAAGCAGAAAAGAATAAACAAAAATTTTTTTCATTACAACTCAAAATAAGAATTTTAAAATTATGCGTTAATTTTGGAGCTCAGTGTAGTACTTTTGCTTTTATTTGATCAACAACATTCTTTATTTTTCGATCGATATATTTACCTATAGATCTAATGGGAAACACACGGGTAAGGATGAAGGAGACTTCAACTTCGAGGTTCGAGAAGGAAGCAGAGAAGATGGGGCTCCAAATCAACGAAAACAAGACGAAATATATGTATATGAGCCGCAATAACCAAAGCAGAGACAGAACCGCTCAGAACATCACCATCGATGACTTTAACTTTGAGCGCGTTAGAGAATCAAGTATCTTGAACAACAATAACTGAAGACAATAACGGATCACAAGAAATAAACAATAGGATTCAGGCCGGCAACAGATGTCTTTTTGCCCTCCAAAACCTTATACAATCGAAACAACTAACACGTCGTATGACGACACAGGTCTATAAAACAATCATACGACCCGTTGTGACGTATGGAAGCGAAACGTGGACGATAACATAGGCAAACGAAGAGAGACTATGTGTTTGGGAAAGAAAAATCCTAAGGAAGATCTTTGATCCTATGCTGGATGAAGCATCTGGACAATTTAGGATAAGAACTAACAAAGAGCTGGAAGAACTTTACCCAGACGCCAACATCATAAAAGAAATAAAGTCCAGAAGACTCCAATGGGTAGGACACCTCAGAAGACATTCTGAAGAACGAACAGTAAGACTGGTGTCCCAACTGGAAGGAGACCACGCGGACGCCCTCGTCTCCGGTGGCAAGATAATATAGCAGGAGATCTAAGCACTATGGGCGTGAGAATTGGATGGAGGTTGCTCAAGACAGAAAACAGAGGCATGTTGTCGAGTCGGCTAAAACCCACGAAGGGTTGTAACGCTACGGAGTAAGTATGAGTAAGTATTCTTGATTTTTCCTTTAACAACGTTTAAAAACGTTGACTTTGCAATTCGAACCAAGCTCTATTTATTTGTCTTTATTTAGATATTAGAATAAATTCTTTCTGAAAAAGAAAGAAGTTCATTCACGGAGAAGTGATAAGAAATACTGATAACAAGGGAAATTAACTATGAGAGAAAAACATGGATATTAGGGATGAAAAACTGCATGGGCTCTAATGTTATTTCATCGCAGAGGGCTCTGTAAAAATTGTAAACATAACTTTAAATATTAGGGTACTTGGTATATAATTTTGTAGGTAAAAAAAAGGCCGAGTATTGATTCAAAGGAATTCTATTTCAGTTTAGATGGTACAAAATTACGAGTCTGCAAAGCTTTTTTTACAAAAACTCTTTGCATTAGCAAAGAAGTAGTTCAGCATACGTTTTTTGAATAAGAGTGGAAGTAAAATATTTACAGGATGCGATAAAAGAGGTGGAAGACCGCCGAAAAACAAAAAAAAATCATTGATGATGTCGAAAGGGTAAAGCAACATATTGAAAGTTTTCCTATACTGGAGTCCCACTATACAAAAAGTTCTACCAAACGAAAATATCTAGATTGTAAATTGAGTATAAATAAAATGTACTTTAAAATATAAACAATTATGTGAACATAATGGTACCTCACCTGTATCTTCAATCGCTTATAGACGCATTTTTTGTAATAATTACAACTATTCTTTCTTCACTTCAAAGAAAGATCAATGCCAGCTCTGAGCACAATACAAGACTAACGATGAAGAAAAGAAAAAGCAATTACAGACGCAATTACAGCTCGAAATGAGGATTCCTACACAGCAAAAGCAAAAGACAAAGCTAGAGCTATGAAATATGCCAATTTTGTATGTGCTACATTTGACTTGCAATGTGTGCTTCAAATACCGAGTAGCGACGTGAGTCCAATGTACTACAGTCGAAAAATTTGCACTTATAATTTGACAGTGCATAAGCAAGTACCGAAAAATAATTCGTTTTGTTATAGCTGAACAGAGCTTCATGAAATAAGGGGTAGCTTAGAAATTGGCACCTGACTCTTTACTTCTATTAATCAGCTTTCCACTAGTGTAAATGCATTATCAGTTGTTTCCGACACTTGCATTGGACAAAAAGGAACCAAAATGTTAGCACTTCAGGAATCACAAAATGATTATAGAGCAAAAGTTTCTGGAATATGGACACAGCTACATGGAAGTGTACCGTATGCACAGTTCCATTGAACGAGTCCAAAAGTATGTTCCTGTGTGTACAATGCATGATTGGTTAACAATATTTCGCATGGCCAAAAACAACATCATCAAAAAAGAAACCGTTTGTTGTGCAGGAACTCAAATATAAAGATTTTCTTGACTTAAAAGGCGTTTACGCCTTCTAATTTGACGAATTACAACAAGTAATGGAAAGACTTTATTCAGTTAGTGAGGATAACACGGCCTGAGCCTCAACTTCAAGAAGACAAAGTGGATGCTGATAAGCAAAAAGCAACAACCTGCTCGACAATTACGGATAAGTAACTTACTAATTGACCATGTAGAATCTTATGTGTACCTTGGCACCAACGTAAATGCAAAATGGGAACAGACCATAGAAATTAAGGCGAGAATAGAACGAGCTAGAGCACATTTAGCAATATAAAAAAGCTCCTAATAAGCAAGGATTTGTCTCTTCCCTAAAACTTCTTCTTCTTCAGGTGCCATCTCCGCTACGGAGGTTGGCAATCATCATAGCTATCTTAATTTTTGAGGCAGTAGCTCTAAATATTTGTTTTGAGCTGCATCCAAACCATTCTCTCAGGTTCTTCAGCCATGAAATTCGTCTTCTTCCGATGCCCCTAAAACTACGTCTAGTTAAATGATACATTTTCCTATCTTGCTGTATGGCGTGGAGGCCTGGACGCTGACGGAGACGCTAACAAGGAAACTAAAGCATTCGAAATGTGGTGTACCGACGCATTCTTCGTATATCCTGGACCGAACATGTCACCAACATAGAGGTACTCCAAAGAATCGGAAACGAGAAAGAGATCGTGAATACAATTAAACAAAGAAACTTGAATATCTAGGCCACATATTGAGACACGATAAGTACCGTCTGCTACAATTGATTGTCCAGGGAAAAATAGACAGTAAGCGGGGCCAGGCAGGAGAAGACACTCGTGGCTCCAAATCTGCGGAAGTGGTTCGGGCTCACATCGGTCGAACTATTCAGAAGCGCCGCAAACAACATCAAAATTGCCATGTTAATAGCCAACGTTCGCAACGGACAGGGCACTTGAAGAAGAAGAAGAAGGCGGTTTCTAAGCTTATTAAAAATAAAACGAAAGACATAAAAAACGAAAAGGTAAACTGGTTAAAAGTTCAGTGTTTTCGACACAAAAAGGCTAAACCAGGAATCACTGAGTATTGTTTATGATGATACCTCAGCATAAAAAGAGATAAACGTTTTGGGAGAAAGTCGAAAAATACCTAATTTGAAAGAAATAACGCTAAAGGAAGATGTGACTTATAAGTTCCAAAAAAAAAACAAGATTTATTGAAGTTGTGCAAACCGGGTGTGATTCCAGATGAATTTCACTTATATTATAATTTACCATCCTCCGACGATGTTCAAGACAATAGGTATATCTGAACCAACACTTGAGAGTGCTCCTGAAGTTGACATTTAAGTTAAAGATACTTTAAGACAAGTTTCAGATTACGCCAATCAGTTCAGGCAAATTAGGTTATTCTACAGATTTTTTCTGATTTTTGGCGTTAATTATTTATGTTATTATTACAGTACCACAATCTATGATATTTTATGGGTTATTAAATGTTTCCTTTCATGTAGTTGGCTTAAACTTCTAAACTTGATTTTCACAAAACTAACAAAATGTTTTGGCAGTAAACCGACGATATGATTGTTTCAGTAAAATTTTGCAAATAAAATGAATAGTTAGTTTATTTTAAAAGCCTTGTGTGAAAGTTCGTATTTGCACATTTTATTTTTGGACTCCTATTGGAAATAGGACTTTCAGAGAAGAGCATAATGAATGTATTATATCGTTATCTTGGGAACTATAGCACAATTAGGCCAACACACAGGTATCCTAACTTTACCTAAGTCGGTAAAGATAAAAATTCAAGGTTTTCTACTCCAGCAATCACAAAGTAAGCCAAGCATAAACTCAACATAGAAAAGTTTATATGAACAGTCATGTAGGCAAAATATTATAAATTTCATAGTGTTTCCCACCTTCAATAACTATTTAAAAATAGATGGTGTTTTGAAATGGGTTCTAAAAAAATTCAACATAATATAAAAAAGAGTTTAGCTACAGTAACGAATTGGTCGACTGTACCTGGTCAAACGCGTATACTCCGTTCAATGTTGCCACATTTTCAACTATGAAGTATTGATCGCACTAAATACTAAGAGAAATAAAAAATACTCACGTAATCATGAAAAGCTTTTGCTTCTGAAGAATGCTCACAAGTGTCCCTCCTTTCAGGAGCGGCACAATATAAATCCCAAAAAACACTAAAATGTCCGAAAATTAATAAACAAAAATGAGGAAAATAAAAATGTCAACATACCACCACCACGAATGTAAAAATCCTGGAGGTTCTCCTAATGTTATATTTTTCTCCCATCGTATCTAAAATAATTCCAACATTTTACTAAATATTATCGTTGAAACTAAAGGTGAAACTCACCTCAGACAAAAATGTCTGTGCAGCTTTCTGTGCACCAACATGAAGTAAATACTCGTAAACGTACAGTGCCAATCTGGAATAAATATTTATCTTAAACAGTTAATCGAACTCTAATTGAGAGATATTATAAATAACAAAATATTAGTTAATGAGCAAATGTAAACAAAACAGGTACCTCTTTGGTTATCAAGGCCTCATCACTTCCAAAACTTCTTAATACATAAACTCTCCTATTTTTACTCAAATATCATAGTTTTATACTACTCTAGATGATTTTACATACAAATAAATACTGTATTACAGACGTTTACTAGTTGCTTCAATGATTTTTTAAACATGGAGAGTATGTTCATGACAGGAAAAGAAATTAATAAAAAAACAGAAAAATTGTACCACTTACTTTTCTCTCGCTTGTGCATCGGACGGCACAGAAGATCCCTTGCCTTTCGCATACATTTTTCTAAAACTTATTTAACTAATGTAACCTACATACATTGAAGTAATGTACCGTTCGGTTGGAATTGTTTTATTTGGTGAAACACGCTGCTTCTACATGATAAAAGATGCTGTTCATCGCATTACCCAGACACATACACTCGATTAAATTCACATCACTATTGTAAGCATGCATTACTCGATTTAGAATCCTTTAAAGTCGTACATATCATATTGAAAACACTTCAATAAGCTTTAAATTCACATCACAACTCACAACACGTCAATTCGAAATGTTTTCGACGCCGCACACAAAATTATCACTGTAAGTACCTATATCGCCAAATAGCATGCGTCGAGTGTAGAGTCTGTCTACCTCTCTGCTTGTTAGAGATGTAACTACATCGACACAACAGTTCCAATAGTTCCCGTTCCTCTACCCGTTCCTTACTCCAACAAATCTTGATTGTCTTGTCTTGAAGCCCAAGATCGCACACTATTCCGGTAACATAAAGACTCCTGTAACAAATTTGTAAGCGTTAATATTCCAAAAAACTGAACAATAATGCAAATGCGGACATGATTTAATAGAACGGCAAAAAATATACGATATAAGTTGCATCAATAGTGGTTTCACTTTTATTATTGTATATTTTTTATTTTCATTTATATGAATCAAATGGCAAGGAGCAATAGAATGATCAATGTTACATAATATAAAACTTAAAAGACAAAACAGCAATAAATGGAACAGATGAGAGTGAGAAAAGTTATAAGGCAGATGTTAGGCAAGTGATGAGAGAAACTGCAAGAAAAAAAAACAAGAATATGAAACTATTAGGTCATATAAATTGAGAAATAAAAAAATACTGAGAAGTACCAGATGACCCTAAATCAAAAACTAGAATATACTAAAGAAAAAATAGAGAATCGAAACGTAAAACAACTATGGAACTACTTTAAAGAGGTTATGATAAATACAGCGACAAAAGTATGTGAAACAATAAAAGAGCTATAAAAGACAGAAAAGATGGTAAAAAGCGACGAAGAACTGTTACGCCGCTTTTGAAAGAAGAATACTTATACGGAAGAGTACAAGAAAACGGGATATGGAGCAGGCACTACAATTTTAAGTTGTATCAATTGTATGAAGAATGCAACATCGTCCGGTCTATTAAAACTCATAGACTAAGGTGGCTAGGACACCTTGAAAGAATGGACACTGGAGACCCCCAAAGACAGATATTATATCAAGTGCCAGTAAGAACCAGGAAAAGAGGCAGGTCAAAATCTAGATTCAAAACTCAAGTCGAAGATGACTTGAGGAATCTAGGGGTCAGAAATTGGACAGCCAGAGCGAAAGATAGGGGGGAATGGAGACTAATTCTTGAACAGACCAAGACCCACCCAGGGTTGTAGAGCTAAAGATGATGGTGATGATAAAAGAAAGAAAGCTGCATGGTGGAATGAAGAAATAAGACGACAAATTATAAGAAAGAAAATTGCTTCGAAAATATATTTACAAAATAAAACACCAGTCAAATATGAAGAATATAAAAAATACAGAAGATTAGAAGAATTTAAAAAAGAAACAAAAAAGGACAAATGAACAAAATTTGGAGAAAAAGATGGAAACAAACAGTAAAAAGAATTAGAAACAGTTCTACGGAGTTTTAAAATCAATGACAAAAGAAAAAAAATCAAGACAACAATATAAAGAGTAAAACTGGTGAACTTTTCACAGAAGACAATGAAATAATGAACAGATAGAAAGAATATTTCCAAAATATGCTACAAACTCACTGCTATCAAGAAGAAAACAACTTGTTGAACCAGAGAATAGAAGATGATAATATAGATCCTATAACCACAAATGAGCTGCAAGGAGCAATTGCAAAAATGAAAAACGCGAAGGAGCCAGGTTATGACAGAATAACAAGTGAAATGGTGAAAAAAGGTACAAAATGCAACAGAGTTGTTACTAAAGATATTTTGTCTCATTTGGAGAGAAGAACAGATGCCAATTGACTGGCAAACGGCTCAGATAGTATCGATTTATAAAAATGGCAGTAGAACGGATTAAAACAACTATAGAGGAATAACGCTCTTAAGTCCTGCCATGAAAATATACGAAAAAATATTGAACAAAAGAATAACCGGAAAAAATTGACAGCACACTTGAAGAATCATAAAGTGGATTTAGAAAAGACAGAAGAGCCGCATGATCATACGTATATTTACCATGAAACAAATAATAGAAAAATATTAGCAACGGCAAATATTAAATAATAAACGTATTAATAACAAAATGATAGAGGTAATTAACATTTACAACAACAATATGAATTATGCCATAAGTTAAAAAGAACATCAACACGATTTACTACAAAGGAGGGTTTGAGACAATGAGGAGGATTAAGTTCAACGCTACTTATAATACAGGGTGTTTCAAAAATGTAAGGCGTAAATTAAATCACGTATTCCGGGGACAAAAATAAATTGATTGAATTCAACTTACCTTAGTACAAAAGTGTACACAAAAAAAGTTACAACCCTTGAAGTTACAAAATAAAAATTGTTTTTTTGCATTATCTCCTAAACTACTTAACATTTTGTAATAAAAATGGATCTTTACTTTCTTGTTCTGAAAGCATTTTTCATAAAAAAGAAACAACAAAATCTAAACGCACAGAAAAATCTTAAGGGGTTGTGCACCCCTAAATCGCCTCAAATTTTGAGTGCGTTCAAATCAAATGAATTTTTAACACATTAGTTTAACACATCTACACAATTTAAAACATAAAATTTGTTTGCCTCTTATCACTTTTTTCAAAAAACAGTTTTTATTGAATTGCGGCCCTTTTCATTAACCTTTAAAAAATTACGTGCAACTAAATAAATGGCTTAAATGAATTTACAAGTACAAAAATGTCTATAACCTCTGTAAATATATTATTACAATAAATGTTCAAAATCACCCCAAATAATGGGTTAAACTAATGATGCTACAAAATTCATTTGATTTGAACGCACTCAAAAGTTTGGGGGGATTTAGGGTTGCACACCCCCTTAAATTTTTTTGTGCGCTTAGATTTTGTTGTTTCTTTTGTATGAAACGTGCTTTCAGAACAAGAAAGTAACGTGTCCATTTTTATTACAAAAGTAAAAAGAGTCAAGTAGTTTAGGAGAAAAAAAAACATTTTTATTTTGTAACTTCAAAGGGCTGTAACTTTTTTGTGTACCCTTTTGTACTAAGGTAAGTTGGATTCAATCAATTTATTTTTGTCCCCGGAATGCGTGATTTAATTTATGACATACCTTTTTAAAACACCCTGTATACATTGTTGAAATGAAAAATGTAACGTAAAATTGAAAAAAAAATGCATGTGGGTTATAGAGATTTCAGAAGAGTAGACATTTCAACAGAGTAGACATTTTCTATTAAAATACGAAAATTTGAGTACTTGGGACATGTGATGAGAGGGAAAAAATACGCATTATTACAACTTATTATGACGGGCAAAATCCGAAGAAAGCGAAATGTGGAAAGACGAAGAATATCCTGGCTTAAGAACTTAAGGGAATGGTTTGAATGCAGTAGTGCAGAACTTTTTAGAGCGGCAGTCAACAGAGTCCGCATAGCCATGATGATTTCCAATCTTCGATAGAAGATGGAACTTAAAGAAGAAGAAGGCATTTCATGAGGAACATTCGCTGACGACGTCATCATATTGGCCGAAAATGAGAAACAACTAAAAAGAAATATAGAAATATAGAAATATAGAAATATGGTACTAAAAAATATGGAATGACAATTAATAAAAATAAAACAAAAGTTATGGAGATATGAGAAAATAAAGAAGAAGAAAAGATATAAAAATAGAAGACGTAAATATAGAACAAGCACGAACCTTCCACTACTTAGGTGTAGAATTAAAAGATAACGGAAGACAGGAAACAGATACTAATAATAGACTTAAAAACACGATGAACCAATACTATGCCTAAGACTGAAATTACAAGAAAAACAAAATTCTGGACTGCGAGATTATCGTGGTTTCTAACAGAACGACAAAAGAATAAAACATAGGCAGTAGAAATGAAATATCTGAGACGAGTTCGAGGAGTTACCAAAAGAGATGGACTATGGAACACCCAAATAAGAGTAGATTTGCAAATAGAGTCAACATTAGAATATATGGAAAGAAAGCAACTCAGTTGGTAGGGTCATCTTCTTAGAATGGAGAATGCAAAACCGGTGAAATAAATTTGGCAGTCAAAACGCAAAGAAAAAAGAAGAAAGGTAGACCACGACAAACATGGGATTGAATCTTAGAACATATCGAAAAAATTGGAACAACATAGACAAATTGAGTCAAAAACAGCTGTTGTCGTCGCTGTATGTGGTAACCATGTTTTCTATTTTAAGCATTTAATGTGAATTATACATATGTATAAGGGTTAGACCCAAGATCTGTGGCCTAGAGAGCCCGATCTTTATTTTTTAATATGTTGTGTGTCAACAATTTTCCTTCTATGAAGTATTTATTGCCTAATTGACGATAGCTCTGATGATGACATTTATTATGTCGAAAGTATACTCAGCTTAATTAGGTAATAACTTATTTTACACACTGTCAATTTTATTGAAAACATACAAAACCTGCTTACCAGTTAGACCAACATAGACAAAAGCAAGGACGCTGGCCGAAATACGAATCAATTGATCCAATTTGTACATAATGTAAACATAAAATAGAATATTAGTTAAGTTTACAAATTAGATTGTTTGATATTAAAATTTAATTGTATTTGTTTTATATAAAATTGTCACCCTACACCACTACGTGGTAACAGTTTTTTTTTTTATAAAACTTAAAAGCCAAAACAACGATAAATGGAATGGACGGGGGAAAAACGAGAAAAGTTATAGAGCAATGAAAGATAGAATGAACAAAATATCATTGCCGACTACGAGAATCGGACAGAAAAAGGAATAACCCAATTGAAACGAAGTAGAAATCTTACGAAAGAAGCTAGAGAAGGATCAGCATAATTTGGTTGAAATAAAGAGCTTATATCTAAAATGAATAGAATAATGCACGATAGACACAAATATGCATGTATACCGAACACGACAAATAATGTAAATTAGATACATATGGTGATAATAGATAAAAGACAAATAGATAATAATAGAAGAATATGTTAAAGAAGTGAAGGATACATAGCAACAAAAAACAAACCAAAAAGAGAAAACTAAATAAAATTGACGGTTTCCCATTCATAATAATGAATATATCGACGCCGTATATCCAATAACCGAATATATCGAATTAACATAAAGTTTAAACGAGTCATTATTTTTAGCCGTTTAACTTTATTTCATTCATATTTGCAATAAAAAAATGATCTACAATTAGAACTAAGTTCAGTTCATTAAACAGGTTCATGGAACAATTACTAAATACCGGTTCTGAAGTATCTGTTTTGATGTTTTAATGCATCTCTATCAGTTGTCCCGTTATTAAAATGGCTACGCTTCTCTCTTGCTGCGCTTCAATGCCCCCTTTGTTCGTGTATCTATTGCTAACGGAATTATAATGAAATCGCGAACTTTTTCACTATCACTTTAACTATTTCATTAATATACTTTCTGTAGAAAGAAAATTACAGCGATGTACTCATCGCTCTTATGTTAACAAAACTCAAGCATGTAGTGGCAACGACCCTATTTATTAATCTCAAAAATGAGAGTGCGCAAACAATTCCATAATCTTCTCTGGACGATTATTTCAGTTATATCTATTTATGGTTTTACTAGGAGTATTTGATTTTTATATTAAAATATCTTGCCAGACAGTCACATATGTATAAAAGAATTCATATTTAATGGCTTCACGCGTGAACTGTATAGTAGTATATAAATAGAATCTGGCTCCGAAAAACCGTTTGAAGCCGGTGTACCGAATAACGAATAAAGTGTATGCTTACATGTTACTATAAACATCTGTTTGCTTGAGACTTTGTTTTACCATGTGAAACATATTGCAAGCTGGTATTCTTAAGAATTCGTATATAGAGTATAAGAAGTGGGATAATACATGCAGAAGGAGTATTTCAGATTTAGAAAAGGTAGAAACAAAAATTACAACTGTTAAGTACATACTCTGTTCTAGCGAAGTTCAAGACCAGTAGAAAATATTTCAGTACAGAGCTAAATAACAAATAAATAACATAATACATAGTTCTACTTATTACGGACTATTAATTTGGATTTAACGTACATTTTAGATAAAAGATGAAATAAACATTAAAATTGGCATATATTCTTAAAGAAACTACTTCAATTTTATTTAATAAACCAATAGAATCAATATTTGTACTTTTATTGAAAATCCAAATACATTCTTTTAATAAGTCCTAAAAGTAGGCAACCAACAATATATATGGCAGTATGATTGTATGCATATTATGTAACAAAATTTTTAATGTATTTGTTTGAATATATGAATAGGATATGACTGAATAAATTAAAATTCAATCGAAATGATAAATTTCCATACATATTTAGATATCCTTAAATATGAAATATGATTAACAAATATTGATATTCGCGATACTAATTGTCGATTGTTAGCGATTCTTTTAAAATACTATTTTAACACCGACAAAAATAATTTTTAAAGTAGAGTTTATTAAAAGGCGTACAAAACTACAAAATAATATATAATAATAGATTATTATTATATTCTATATTGTAAAAACTAATAACATCCGTCGTCCGACTATCGATTCAATTAAGTGAAATAGTAATCGCAATATCGATAATTCGCGACCTTTAGTTTTGATGACAATTTGACAATCAAGTTGACAGAAAATAAATTATTATCAAATATAAATTAATTCTAGTTTGTCAGTTTATTAACAATTCAGGAAAACATGTTATCAGTATAGTGAATTTAAACCACAAGTAGGGCAAACTATTGGGCTATGGACGGAGGACCATCGGATTTTCCATTTGAAGAACAGCCAACAGGAAAAAGATGGGATCCACTAGGAGCCCCAAATGATGAAGAAATCGACAGTGATTTAAAGAAATTTGACGAGGATTGTGGCCTTAATGATCAGTAAGTTAAATTCTGGAGCGTATGCAAATTTTAATGTATTCCATTCAATGGAATAATTCTTTTTTGCTTTTTAGGGAGGTTTTGGAAAAAATTCGGACGTTGGAAGAAGAACAGGAGCTACTCAATTCATCCCTCTTTGCTCTAACAACCCATTTTGCCCAGGTTCAATTTCGTCTACGTCAAGTTGTTAATGCCCCTTCAGAAGATAAAGAGGAATTGCTGAAATCTCTGGAAGAATTTGCTTTCCGTGGCATTCCTGATGTTGGCCATGTTCAAGAACACATCGATGAAGCCAGCTTAGCTGACGCTGTACGTTTAAGAAGAAGCCAACAAAAAGAACTGATTGATAAACTTAAATCCCAGTTAAGAGAATTAGAACAGTATGCATTTGAAAACGGTGAGGCTGGAATCCCTCAGGATATGGTCCTTGAAAGGCAAAAAATAATTTTAAATGAATTAAAGACTCGGATGAATTTAGAGATTGATGATCAGCATTTTTATCAGGTATGTTTATCATATTGCTTTTTCTCATTTTTATAATGCTTTCTTTACGAGCAATCCAAACAACCTATTCTGTATTCTTATTGGAATTATTAAGTTGCGTTTTGCTGAAAATTTTTCAATTAATCTCTTGACCATTTTCTCATAAGTTTTCTTGCATCTTATGCTCACAGGAATGAATATAGTTTTTGATTTACTTTACTTTCTAGTCTTGTTACATTCTATACTTTTAGTTGATCGTTTTGGTCATTACCAAAACGATGTGCATTATTGCATCTTTTGGTGTTTTTTTGTGAGGCCAAATTTGTGAGATTTCAATAATTGATTTTGAGATCACTGTACAAATTTTTGTAGTATTGGTATTATGATAAATTGTGATAACTTAATATTACTGGTAACAGATTTATGAAACAATACTAAATGATAATTTTACTTCTTTTATGGATTATTAGCAGTATTAGTGTAATTTTTTAGGAATTATTAAACAAATAAACCAAATTATCTTTTAATTATTATGTGCAAACGTTTTTATTTTTAAATAATTGTATTATTTTAGATGTCCCAAGCTGATGTTAGTAAACAGATTAACATGGCTTTTGATCAACTGGTAAGCCCATTGAAAGTGAAAGAACATCTGGTATCACAGCTAAAAACCCAGATAGCTGATCTAGAAAGATTTATAAGCTACTTACAGACTGATACAAAGCATTCCAAATGCTCCTGCCATTCTTCATTTAAAACCTATAAAGAACCTCACAGTGGGGAGAGTACAATTAATTTAATCCAAAGAACTGCCACTCTATTGCAAATGTTTGCTGTTTTACAGCTAGGCTGTAAGTCCCAACCGTTTACCAAGAATGATATGAAACATTCCATGAAAATTAATCATTGGGGGTATGTTTTAATTTAAAATTAGTCAGTTTATTAAACTAAAAAAGAAACAGTAATGTATTTAAATAATGAAATCTATTTTTTTCAGAGATCTGAGAGCAAGACTGGAAATGGCTATTGCAAGGGTAAAAGAACTTGCTGAGCACAGTGAGTTCAGAAAAGAGCAAGAAGGCGACTACAGCAGTGATTCTGAATCTCTTAGTGTATTATGTAATGTCCAATTGACCACTGCTGTAAGAAAGTATTTAGCCACTTGTATAAGAGACTTGATGCAACATGGAGCTTTTACTCCTCAAAGCACCAGCCTAGTTCCTTTGATTGGTTGCTTTCCTAGAAGGAATTCTTTAAGTAATAATCAAATCCATGCCTGGGAGATCATTCTAGAGTATTATAGGATGAAGAATGGTGAAAAATATAACTCTACACCTGCAAGGAAGCTGTCACAAAGTTTTAATTTGGATATTGCTGGAGCTTCACCCTCATCGAATAAGCAGAACATGTTGTGTTGTATTGGTAGCATTATTTCAACACATACGCCATATAAAAGGAGCAATGATTCTCATTTTAAAGCCTTTGTATGTGCCGCTCTTAAGTAAGTAAACAATAGTTTTATTTCTTTTAAACCCAAAAGTATAGGTGATATATGAGGCGCCCAGAATAATAATGGTTCAACTCCATATTTTTTAAAATTCGCGTTTTGTGTACAGGAGGCTTGGCTTTATGAGTATCATTCAGAATAAAATTGGCCCAACTTATAATTATATCTACTGAAGCAGAGATGGTACCACTTGTATCGAAGTCGTCATACAAAATCAAAATATTTCAGTTTAAAAGTGGTCTAAGTTTAAGTGTCAATATAATAACAGTACAAATCCAGAGTTGGACCATTATCACTCTGAATTATTACGCCACTTCAGGGAACATGTTTTGAACTTGCATGTATTTTTATTAAAAATTGTAAGTTTTCGTTATTAATTCCGATGACAATGAGGATTATAGTGATTTTGGATTAGAATATCTTCCAAGTTCAGACAGGAATAATAAATATTCATCTGATGAGTGCTCATAAAAAAGTAATGATATGTTATAGGAAAAAATAGTATCAAATTGCAATTAATATTTTAGTTATTTAATTAAGAGTATCTATCCTGCAAGTGTTCATAGCTCTCTCTATTGCCCAAAGTTCTATGGAGTCGAATGCCTTTTCATAATCAACGAAGCCAATGTTTAAGTTTAAGTGATATTCATTGGCTTTCTCTATTAGAGTTCTGACTGTAAGAAGATGATCCACTGTACTGTAACCCTTTCGGAATCCTGTCTGCTCTACCGGTTGATAGCTATCGAGCTTCAACGTTAACCTGTTCGTAATTACTCTCATAAACAGTTTGTACATTTGGGACAGCAAGGAGATTGGCCTATAGCTCTTCAGATCTATCTCCCTATCTATTCCAATCATCTGGGACTTCTCCTCTGTGAAGACATTTGTTGAAAACATTTTTCAATTCTTCGAGAATAATTTCACTACCCTCCTTCAACATTTCTACAAGTATTCTATCTGGGCCTGGAGCCTTACTGTTCTTTAGATTTGCCATAGCTTGTTTTATTTTGAAGGATTCTATGTTAGGGAGTATTTCTGAGTTGACATTCGTTATCTTTCTCTTAAGATCTTCCTTTGCAGTGTTACCTGGGCTTTTGTTTGAGGAATATAAATCACGGTAAAATGTTTGAGTAACTTTTAGGATTTCATTCTTTTCTCTTATTTCTTTGATATCTTTATCCTTCAATGAGATTATTATAGGCTTTCCTAAATTTGATCTTAAGCATTTCAAGCCTCTGTTCTTTTCTATTATTTTTTCTACCTTGTTTTCATTATAGATTCTTAAATCTTCCTTTATTCCATTCTTTATTTGTTTATTCAATTTAATTAATGCGGAAGCGGTGGAAGCACAAATCGGCGTTATATAAATTTTGTTATTTGAACACCCTCCTGAAGTGAATCTTTCAGTCCGACAATAATGAACCATAATGTGGGTTCTTAGTCATGTTTAGACATAATGTTTTGCTCAAATTCTTCCATTATTAGTGGTAGAGTACAATTTATCAGTTGTAACAGGAAAGAACATTTTCTTGTTAATCTTTACATATTTATTCTGTGGAGATGTTAAAATCATAGAAATTAAATTAAATAAATAATGATATTTATAGTTATATGTACATAAATAAAAAAAATATTTTTTTTAGTGCTAACAAGCTCGTTCCTTGGTTGACCTTGATATTTACTTGTAATCACCTAGTCAAAACTTATTATCAACCATGGAGCTATCTAGCAAAAACAGGTAAGGGTTTTTTGTTACTTTTTATTCTATGTAGAATTAAAAATGTAGGTTTTGAGGACGGATTTGAAACTCCTGCAGTTCCAACCGAACAACCTTTAAGCATATCAGGCTTAAAATTCACCCTCGGAAATATCATCATTGCCGGAATATGATTTCGATTGTATTTATTGAGGCTATCAAGGTTACATTTTGACCTTGCTCTCCATTTATCACTTGACCTAATTGTTTTATTCCCTTATATATTGTGGCTAAACACCCCACTCGGGTTTATGCCGCTTAAGTTCTTTAGATCTATGTTACGAGGTAGATCAGTCCTCATTTTCTTTATTTAATTTTTTCTGTTATTTTTCTCCACTGTTTCCTATCTCTGGTTTTATTCTCTCCATTGCCGTACACCCGCCCTGTTGAGATCATTTGTTACTTCTTGTAGCCATGTAGATCTTGGTCTTCCACATCTTCTCTTACCAGCTGGTGTCCATTCCAATATTGAAAATATTGTCGTAGATGGTCCTGATCTCCATATATGTCCTAGCCATTTTGCCTTTTGCTGTTTTATTTTACAAACTATATCCTCTTTAATTTCGTTTTAGTAGTTCATGATTCGTTCTTTGTCTATATTGGTTTTCATTAATTTTTATTGGACCTAATATTGCTCTTAGTATTTTCCTTTCTAGTATTCGAAGGTCTTCTTCTTGTTTTTTTGTCATGCCAAGGGTTTCGGCAGCATACATCATAGTCGGCCGAATTATTGTTTTATATATCTTCATTTTCGATTTCTTGCTGAGTAATTTATTTTTTAGAAGTTTTTTATTTGCATACTATGTCTTATTTGCTGTGATTATCCTTTCTTTAATTTCTGTTTCCCTTTCTCCATTGTTTGTTAATAATATTCCCAAATACTTAAACTTTTCTACTTCTTCAAATATATATTATCCCAGTCTAACCTTTTTGTTTTCATATTTTTTGTCAAATCTCATTATTTTTGTTTTTTCTTGATTTATTACTAAGCCATTACTTTCCCTTCTGCTACCAATTTTTTTAACATATTTTCCATTTTTTTTCTGTTCTTTGTTATTATCACAATATCGTCGGCATATGCTATTATTTGTCACTCCCGTTCTAAGTGTACCTTTGTTGATTTTTCTGACTATATATTCCAGGGCAAGATTAAATAGAGTTGCAGATAATGAATCTCCTTGACGTACACCTTTATTTATAACAAATTCTTCTGTGTCTCTTTGTGTTTTTACAGTTACTTTACAGTTTTGTTCATTGTCGTTTTTATTAATCATCTTAATTTGTTGTGTATTCTCATTTCTCTCATAGCTGTAAGTAATTTCGCTGTGTTTGTTGAATCAAATGCTTGTTGGAAGTCTATAAAAAGCAGTTCAATTTCTATTTTAAATTCATAAGCTTTCTCCATAATTTGCTTTACCGTATGTATGGCATCTGTTGTTGACTTTCCCCTAATAAATCCGCATTGATATTGTCCCATGATATTTGTGGTCGCTTCAGCCAGTCTTCATTGTATTAAGGTTGACATAATTTTATACGCTGTGTTTAATAATGTCAGTCCTCTATAATTATTACAAATTTGTTGGTCTCCTTTTTTATGGACTGTGATAATTTGTCCTTTATTGATAATTCCCTTAGGTCCTACAATTCTTGGTGGTACATAGAACCGGTCCGAGGTACAACACTCTCCCCTACATTTTGATTATATTATCTTATGAATTCTGTGACTCAGATGCCATTTTTTGTCAGTGCTGTCTAGCCTAGCTTGCAACTCCTGTTCACATTATTTTGTATTCTTGGTGTTTAGTTATAATAAATAGTTTCTATTGCTGTCTAATGATATTCTGACAGTCTTATATGTACTAATTTTTGTGAATTTAGCGCCAGTAGTACCAGAACATCATGGGAAAAGCCAAAGACATCTCACCAAGAAAAATAGCGGAAAAAAACTTTGTTATTGAACACTAATCACTCCAACAGAAAAATAGCATCAATTTCTGAAATTTCAATGGCAACTGTGGACCGCATAAAGAAAAAACTTATCGAAAATTTGGATTTGACCCCACGGCGCAAACAAAATATGGTCGAAAAAAAAAAATTAAACCACTACATGAAAGAACAATTCGAGATATTGTCTTGGCAAACAGAAAACAACTTAAAATATTTTATTCAAAATGATGCAGGAGTCTAGTAAAGCACCCCCTGAGCATTATGGTGTGGTCTACCATAACCAGTCACGGAACTGGTAGACCTATATTGCCGAAGAAATAGTGCAACAGAACCAGTACTTGAAAGTACTGTAAACAAAAGTGCTTCTCCAGGTCTAGGAATGGTTCCTTTATAGTTTTATGTTTATACATGACCTGGCGTCTTGTCACGAGGAAAAAACAGTAACAAAATTCCTTTCTGACAACCAGATAAAGGTGCTATACTGGCCTGGCAATTCGCTAGATCTGAATCCAATAGGAAATCTTTGGAAGCTCATAAAGAAATAAATTCCTAATGAAATTATGACCACAAACTGTCAATTGATCGAGCGTTTAATATCAGTATGGCACAAGAGTGGAATAATTCCACAAAATTGCCAGAAATACATAGAAAGTATGCCAAGAAGGTGCCAGGCAGTTATTACTCGTTTTTCTTTTAATATTTTTGTAAACTTTACAAGGGTATAAGTGTCAGTAAAATAGAACTAAGCGCAAAACTATGTTTTATTGCTCAACTACATACCATTATTATCAAAAAGTAAAAATTTAAGGGGTGGCTCTAATAATTTGATCACCCACTGTACATAGTATAAGATTTGATCTAATTGATGTTTGTTTTAGGGTTCCAAGACAGTTTAAGGAGTTTAGACACATTGTCCGGGATCAAATTCCAGTTACCAGTGGATCTCGCCATTAGACAGTTCCAAAATATTAAGGATGTATTTACATAATATTCTCTTGTTTCTTCTAGTCATTCGGTACTTAATTATATACGTACATTTACTGTGATTCATTTAACAATAATATCAAGGAACCGCGGGATTATTGTAAATGCAATGAAACGTCAATTGAAGTTTTTTTTGTCATGTTTATTAATTAACATGATTTTGTTAGAAACCTTTCACTATTTATTTTATTTCTCCACAGTTTCTATGCCGGACTGAACTACATATACATTTGCAATAACCTCTGTGTTTTCGCAAATCTCGCAGTTAATACGTATCCATTTTGCCTGATATTTTTGTTCCTTAAAAGTTTATCTAGTCGTTAGGTTTTTGTTTTTCTATTGACTGATAAAAGTCTGAAAATTGTTGGTACTTAATGTCTCTATCGTTTTGATCTGAATATGGTTTTGAGTTTAAATAAATATGTATTGTGATGAAGTTGTTTTATTTTCACAATTCCCATCAACTCAGCACAGTTCACGTGAAAAATTGTCAGCTCTAACTGGTTAGAAGAAAATCCTCATTTGTAGTTAGAATTCTCCCTAGTCACACCACAGAATAATAAACAATCAGAATGCCCACTCTCCATGGAAAATTAAGTACGCGCAGATGTCCCGCCATGTTTTAAAGGGAACCAGTGTTGTTCCTATGCTTTTTAGTGTTCTCGGACGCGACTAGTTCACGTTCGAGACGCATCGCCCCGCCCCTTATTTTTTCCGTTGGCTCCTCCCTGACCTGGAAATCCCTAATCGCTACTTCAGAAAGTATAAAAATAGGCGATTTTCAGGTCAATGAAGTCAGTCCTTCACGGGCTCTCGAGAGCTAGTGCTCTCGGGGCTCTGCTTTCTTTTTAGCTTTTTCCCATACTCTGTGGCTGAGATGTTATTCTACTGCAACCTGGTATTTTTATTTCGACTTTACCTTTGTCATGTAAGAAATATCTTGCCTTTTTCAAGGCAAGATACCAGAAGAAAACATTTACGAATCCATACCCCGCAAATGGATTCAAGTAGAGGGGCTTTCGCCGACGTTTCCGAAGCCCTCTACAGAGCACCGGAGGCAATAGAAGGAGTCCAGACACCGTTATTTGTTCCCCCGCGGTGACATGGCGCCCGACAACGTGGTTAAAATCCGCACCCACGACCTAACTCAAATTCACAGAAAGCTGCAGACCAATGACTTCAACATGGGTTTGAAGTCAAGAGAAGAATGGGGAGAACCACGGAGTGTTAGGAAGCTATGCTCTAACACTCCTACATCGAGGCCTTCTGCAGACCGGATGCCTTCGACGTGCAGGCGCCTTTGACGAGCCAGCCTTCTTCGAAGTTAGAAGCCCCAGATGCCGATGAAAGTCCCGGAGTAGACCCAGTCATCGCCCCCCATCGCTACCGAAAGTGGTTGGACGACCACGTAGGCTTCGGCACACTGGTACCCTACGAAACCCCGTCGGATATGGCAGATGGGATCAGACGACCGAGAAGAAGACGAACCCGTTTGAGGAGTTGGCACACCGACCGAGGATGGACCTGCAGGAGTTTGAGATGCCGTCATCACCATCGACCTCCCCTGTAAGTAGTGCAGTGCTGTGAATTTTTGAACTTTTATTAACATTTAATTTTTCTTGTACATTTTTATGTATTTTTATTGTGTATTTTTCACATGTATTTTTATTTGATATTTAATAAATTTTTTCCCGGCCACAGAGTCTCCAGAGGAGGGGGGATGTTCTCGGACGCGACTAGTTCACGTTCGAGACGCATCGCCCGCCCCTTATTTTTTCCGTTGGCTCCTCCCTGACCTGGAAATCCCTAATCGCTACTTCAGAAAGTATAAAAATAGGCGATTTTCAGGTCAATGAAGTCAGTCCTTCACGGCTCTCCGAGAGCTTAGTGCTCTCGGGGCTCTGCTTTCTTTTTAGCTTTTTCCCATACTCTGTGGCTGAGATGTTATTCTACTGCAACCTGGTATTTTTATTTCGACTTTACCTTTGTCATGTAAGAAATATCTTGCCTTTTTCAAGGCAAGATACCAGAAGAAAACATTTACGAATCCATACCCGCAAATGGATTCAAGTAGAGGGGCTTTCGCCGACGTTTCCGAAGCCCTCTACAGAGCACCGGAGGCAATAGAAGGAGTCCAGACACCGTTATTTGTTCCCCCGCGGTGACATTAGATTACCAAAAAGCGTTTGATCGTGTCCAACACCACAAGTTAATGCAGATTCTCAAGAAAGTTGATATAGACCAAAAAGACATAAGATGCATTGAAAACTTGTACTGGCATCAAACGGCACAGTTAAAAATAGACAATTCTATATCCAAACCCATACATATAAGAAGAGGCGTTCGACAGGGATGTGTGCTTTCCCTCTTTTATTTAACATTTATTCGGAAGCCATATTTCAAGAGTCTTTGGAGGATACAGAGATGGGAATCAAGGTGAATGGAGTATTGATCAACAACATACGATATGCTGATGATGGTGTCTTAATTTGTGACAACATACAACATAGTCGATCTTCAACAACTTGTCACTATAATCGGAGAATACAGTAAGCGAATGGGATTAGAGATTAATACCAAAAAGACCAAATTCATCATCATCTCCAGAAACTTGGATGCACTTGAAAACTCCACCATAACACTGAATACTAAATCCATTAAAAGAGTGAGTAAATTTAAATACCTGGAATCGTGGCTTTTTGAAGACTGGGCATCGGACAGGGAAGTAAAATCTTGCATTGAGCAAGTTCGACAAGCTTTCGTAAAATTCAAGAAGGTCCTGACTTGTTCAGAGTTCGATCTTCAACTGAGACTAAGGTTTACTAAGTGCTACGTATGGTCAGTGCTGCTATATGGCGTAGAGCGCTGGGCATTGAAAACGAAGGATATAAACAGATTAGAAGCTTTCGAAATGTGGCTTTATCGCCGTATCCTAAAAATACCATGGACAGCGAAAATCACAAATATAGATGTCCTTAAAAGAATAAACCAAGAACGCCAACTCTTCGAAACCATCAAGAAAAGGAAAACGGCTTATCTAGGTCACATCATGCGAAATGAAAAATACCAGTTCCTCCAACTTATAATCGAGGTAAAATTGAAGGCAAGAGAGGAATGGGACGCAAGAAAATGTCCTGGCTCCGAAACATAAGGCAATGGACAGGGATTAACGACATACAATCTCTGATACATATTGCAAGAAATAGAGAATTAATGGAAAATGTGATCGCTAACATCCATTAGTGGATTTGCATCCGAAGAAGAAGAAGAAGTGTTGTTTAATGAAAATTTATGTGGAGTGCATAGAAAAATTAATCCGGTGACTTAAGGCAATCATAGACATACTATACAATTACTTTAACATTGTCAAATATAAATAAACATAAATATAAACAATTACATAACCTCAAAAATCATAAATATGTCGATAAAGATTCATTACACCAAATGTGATTCTCAATCCAGGTCTGTGTTCTGTGTTTCCTTCTAAAACATGGCGCGCGTGCTGAAAAACTTCAAAGGCGGCATCTGAGAGTGGGTATTCTGATTGTTTATTATTTTGTGGTCACACTAATAAAAGTGAAGTATGGTAAAGGGATACAAAAAAGAAACAAAGTATAATAAAAGTGTATATATAATTCAATAATATTAAAAATAATATAATGAACAACTAATACTCAGGTGATAAACAATAAAATCTTCACTGCATCTAGAAAAGATAGTTTTCAAAAAAACTTTCTACGACAATGCTATGTATGTGATATTATTCAAATAGAACCATGTCCTACTTTCGTTTAACAGTATTACCACGTATCTCAAAATTGCTTAATTGTACCATAGAAAACATATTATATAAAAAGACTAGAAATGTGGTCCAAGGAAGTTGGTATTTCACCCAGCAATAGCTCTGCGATGCCAGATACTCTGACCATAATAAGAGCAATTATGACATCTAAAAAATCAAAAGGCATTAAAAAGGTTAATTTGACCCATTAACTGGCCACTGTTCTAATTACTATTCACATTACCGTTGAAAACAATCATTATTACATTTCTAATAACTGATCAATCAATGGTATCAACTGACTTATTCTAATCACATTTTGATCTTTCAGGTGACATAATTGTTTTTTATACTCGTATTATGAGGTACTATCAACGCGAACAATGCTCACGCTGAGATCTATCGCACTATTTCCCTCTTCATACCGAGGGAATGAAAGCTAAATTAAGATGGAATTATTTCAGCTTTATTTTCAAACATGGCGATATAGTTTCCAAATTCTTCCGTCTGAATGTTTCGCTTCGCAAGATTTTAACGTGTGCATCTTAGCAACACCGAATGTTCGCTAGAGCAACACCTCATTTGGGCTGGATATCAGACTGATAAATGGCTTATTCTTAACATGGGATCACTTATGTATAATCTGAATAAAATCTATAAAGGATTTGAACTCTTTTCTGTCTTACTCAGATCCAACAAGAACCATCTTCGATGAATAAGCTCAGATCTACAGTGAATGTATGACACACAACTGATAAGAAGAATGTTTCGAATTTAAGGAAAAGAATTGAGAGGTTCAAAAGCAAGAGAAGAAAATGATATAGAATATTATAAAGTGATGACGGTATGTTCCAAATATAGAGTTGGAAATAATCCTATTAGTCACTTTATCACAATTAGATCAATAACTCAAAATCGTACACTGCAGATCAGTTCCTGATTTACCAGATCTATTATACACATAATATGCCAAACAGAAAAAATAGGTCCTATACAATTAAATACACTTATAGCAACCCATATACCACTAAGTTAACATAGCAAATCGAAGTTAAAGGTTTATATGACAAGTAGATTATATAATTACATATGAGTCCAGAAAAATGTCATTTTCAGCCGAAAAATTTAGTTATCCTCAATGCTCACATCATCAAGGGACAAAAGAATACTTAAGATAAAACATTTAGTGTCACCATTAGGATAATTATGCATATCGTCGTTGCCGTGGAAAAATCTATGTGCACATTTTCGCGAAAATAAGTTATTAGAGCCATATTACAGGAATCTTCCACGCGCACTTTGTAATTTAAATCTGAAATTTATTTTTAATATTAAAAATCTCTTATGTGTACCGTCTACAATAATGATTGCGATATGTGCTGTATTTAACCGAAATTTTATACATGGGACATTTTGCTACTATAGCGTCCGCGGTAATGCCCGCTATGTGTCGACGTTGGGCACATGCGCGATTTTAACCCAGCCTGATCTGTCAAATTGCTGCACATTTGAGATTTAAGATTCGTACTTTTAGGTTATGTTGCAGAAAACGAAGTAGTGGAAATGGAAGTTGAAGAAAATGAAGTAATTGAAATGGAGGTTGCAGAAAATGAAGTAATGGAAATGGACATCGCAAAAGAATTAGAAATAGTGGAACATGAATATGAGAAAACGGAAGAAAAAGAAATGCAAGCAGCAAATAATGTGGAGCTAGAAGTTGCAAACGATATATCTGTTTTCAACCAGGAGATTGAAATAGAGAATGGGGGCGAGGAAATTGGTTTGGAAAAACAAGTCATAGAAGATAAATTGTCGCAAGAAGAAGGGACAGAAATTGGTGACCGTAAATCTGTCACCAGCTCTGGCAGTGATGGCTCCCTAAGTTTTTTTGATAAACCCATTTCACACATCACGCAAAATAGCGCAAGACTATAAAAGCAAAAAAATAAAATTATAACATTATAAAATGTCATTAAGTTGTATTATTTTTACAAAAACGTGTTTTCTTTGTCTCCTGAAAATTTTAGGTTTCAACACGTAGGAGATATTTCCACGGCAGCGACGATATGATAAATGTTGATTGAATAATGGCGTTTGACAACGTTACGATTTTATTTGTTGTAATAATATAGGGAACGGTTTGAAGAATCCAATTACATTATATCATGAAAAATACTGGATAAATATTTGTTGTGTGGTAAAGTTCTATGTATTTCTGTATTTTTGGTGTTTATCCTTTCTTTTTTCAGTTAGAAGCTTTTACTGGTACACCTAGAAGATCTATTGGACACCAAACAGTTGCAATATTTATTTATTCATATAGCATTCTTTAATAGGAATAACATATTTGGGAATTGCCCATTTTTGAAATTGGCTCTTTTAAAGAGAAGAAAGTTTTAAAAGCAATATTGAATTAGTAAATACTTAATTATGAAAGGGGTCATATCAGATGCTCTATATGTCTTTGGATGTTTGCACTATTTATATAAGTATCAAAAAACGTTCTTGGTAAAATACATTTTAGAATTCATGAAATTTTTGACTGTTTTTTCTAAAAGACCGCAGCGAATGACGAAGAAAATATGAATGTGAATGGTTTAATGCTAAACAATAATTGGAAGTAGTTTGTAGGCCTGTTCCTATAATATGTTTTCGATGATTTGCATCGCTAACCATAGATAAATAATAGGCAAATGCGAGTGAGGAAGTGACTATGTTTAATATTTCCTTCTCAAATATAAATATGGAGAAATTACACGAGGGTTACCAGAGATTTAGATCATCGAGAATAATTTGAGTTTATTTAACAGCCGGTTCAGCAGACTCGACGACGTATTGCTAATTTGAGCAACTCCTTCACCAAACGCAATCAATTGACACGGATGTGTAGGGGTGTGCACTTCGCCTGCCTTCCTAATGACTGACTGGTGGCGGGTTTGGACCTGGACCGGGGGGGTACGATCGACCCATGACGGCTGGGTTGTCTGGATACGGCATGTCCGCTGTGGGGATGTCGTCATTCTAAAAAGTATTAACATATTAGCATTATAAATTTAATCAAAATTAATTTAATGGTTGGCAAATACGCACATGAGAAAATAGAGATATAGTTCAAACCAAACTCTTCTTTCAGTGAATTTAGAAAATGATGTAGAACTGACGAGTAGTTGCATATTAAAGCGATTTCTGCTTATGGATGTGCGAGCAAATACTAGGGTAGATTGATATTAAACTAGCCTTTGATAGATTGCGCTACTTATTTCGGTGTTGACATTTGCCAATCATGACATGACGTCTGTCAAAATTTTAAGTTTTAAAAACAATTAGTTTGGTTTTTACAGCCGTGAAAAGGAAGGAAATTTTGTGATTTCGGAGAAATGGAAAAAGTCGAGTATCGTTCGGTGATTAAGTTCCTCCACGAAAAGGGTAAAACGAATGCAAATCAAAGCCGACCTGGACGAAAGTTTATGGTGAGGTTGCATCTTCGTTAGCAACAGTAAAATTTTGGAAAGCTGAATTTGTTCTTGGTCGTACGAGTGTTTTTGATGATAAGCGTCCCGGGAGGCCAAATGAAGTCACCATGTCGGAAATGATCAACAAAGTCCATGACATGATATGACAGATCGTCGACTTAAGCTCCGCGAGTTAATATAGGGCCTAAACATTTCCTACGAACGCGTACACGACATCATTGGGACATGAAAAAGCTATCAGCGCGATGGGTACCACGTTTACTGACAATCGATCAAATGCAAAAACGTGTGACCACTTCGGAGACTCTTTTGGCGATGATACGGCGAGATCCGAAGGATTTTCTTCGCCGATTTATCACCGTTGATGAAACCTGGGTGCATTATTACACACCGTAAACCAAAGAACCATCGAAACAGTGACGCAAACGCGGCGAAGGGCCGCCAAAAAGGCAAAGAGTGCACATTCGGCCGGCAAAGCGATGGCAACTGTTTTCTGAGATGCGAAGGGCATCATCCACATCGACTACTTGGAAAAAGGAAAAACAATCAATGGTGAGTACTACGCAGCATTATTGGATCGATTCGATGCCGAATTGCGTCGAAAACCCCCCGGTTTGGAACGCGAAAAGTGCTCTTTCACCAAGACGATGCACCGGCTCACCGATTGGCCGTCGCCATGGCAAAATTACACGAATTGGGCTATGAATTGGTTGAAATCTTGCCACCAGCGATTTTTTCGTTTCCAAACCTAAAAAAATGGCTTGGAGAACGCCGTTTCGCAACAAATAATGAAGTCGTCGCTGAAACTTCGGCCTGTTTTGAAAAGCTCGAGCAAAAATACTATTCGGATGAGATAAAAAGGATTCCAAAATATTGGAACATCGTCTTACTAAGTGTATCGAGCTAAAAGGGAACTATGTTGAGAAATAAATCGATTTAATTCCAAAAAAATTGTTTTCAAAGGCTAGTTTTATATCAAAGCACCCTCGTATAATTGGTTTACGTTTAGAATATGCTAAATCTATAAAAAATCAATGATGCGAATAAAGATAATTTGACGCAAAAGTACTTTCACAATGTCAACGGGCAAAGTGATAATTGTCATCCAGGTTATTATTTTCTGACATTGTAGGGTGAAAATTTTATTTTATATTTATTTTAATATTTCTATCTATGTCAGACCTTTTATTTATGCAAGATGTACTAGATTTTATGAAACACATTTCCAAGAAAACACGTTTTGAATGTTTTTTTTTTCTTTTGCCAAAATACAGGAATCCTCGACATTAATTTCATGTTTTAACGTTTTTTACGATTTTTAACCCACTAACATTTTTGAAAATGTTCATTAGCTGAGGTGCCAGAACTGGAATATAGGGTAGGCAACCATAAGTTATTTTAGATTGTGGTATCACTGATGTGTTGTGTGTCAGTGTCAATTGTCGAACCTCATTATTATGAAAATTTTGACAATTGACACTCTGAAGACAACTCTGAAAGATAAAGAAATTAACATTTCTACCACTTCACTGGATAGGGTTTTAAAAGATTTCCAATTCAGATTGTTAAATTGAAATTTTTCAAACAGAAAATATTTAATGGAACAGTCACATGTGGATATAAAAGATTCCAAAAGTTGGACCAAACACTCTTCAATAAAATGGTTAAAAGAAAAGCATATAGATTTTTCAACAACAATGATGAAACTTGAATTAATGGAGATTATATTATATATTTGTTTTATTTTACAGATTAGATGTACTGGCACTTGAACAAGGTCATGGAGTGTTGAGATTGCCTCCATATCATTGCCAGTTTAACCCATCGAGAATGTTTGGTATGATCCTAAAAGATATTATGATGCTAAAATATCTTGTACAGGTAGTGTAAAGTACTATATTAAGTATTTGGATAGAAGCATTACAACATTTAATTGAAGAGTACTAAAATTCTTAAATAATAATTGGATAATTGTGGTTAAATTTAAGGTAACACCAGAAAATGGAAGAAATATGTATTGCATGCAGAAAATATAAATGAATACTGGCAGACAGAAAAAGTAATGCCTGCCACATAAACCCCGTAATCAGATTCTGAATCAAATTGTAAATTCAGGAAAGATATTGAGGAAATATCTTAAAGTATTACTACTATGGATGTTGTATGGAACATTAAAATTTATTTTCTTCAAAATACCTGGTCTGCAATTAAACATATCAAAGACAAAGATCATAATAGTGGATAGACTACACAACAATCATCCACACATAACCACAATTGACCGGTTCGAGGTTGTGAGCTCATACTTATATCTGGGATCATTAATCACAAACACAGGGTCATTACAAGAAGAGATTAAACGTAGATGTGATCTAGCAAAAGTTGCCACAGCAAAAATGACCCAAAATATGGAAGGACTGTCAAATTTCAAGAGCGATAAAGATGAGGTTGATCAACTGCTTAATATTCCCAATACTGACCTACGGATGTGAATCTTGGACTCTGAGACAATCGGAGAGAAGAAAGATAGACGCCACTGAAATGTTCTGTTGGAGATGAATGTTACGAATTCCTTGGACCGACCGTAGAACAAATAATTCAATTTTAAGAGAGCTAAAAGTTAGCCAACGACTCTCTAGTAAAGTCCATCTCCAACAATTAAAATATTTTGGGCATGTTATGAGAGCAACCACAGAAAACATGGAAAGACTCATAATACAAGGAAAGGTAGAAGGCCGAAGATCACGAGGAAGATCCCCAAGAAGATGGATAGATCAAATTACAGGAATATGCCAAAGACCTATGCATGAATTAAAAGAAATGACCAGAGACAGAGATCTCTGGAGACGGACAATACACGACATCACGTCGACCACTACACTCCCCCTGGGGGGTCAGGATTAAAGAGAGAGACCTGGGCATCTGTCCAATTGTGTAATACTCATATATCGCTGTTGCCCAATCCCTTCTTAATTCCAGAGACTTCCAATCTATACAACTATATAAATCAAACAACAGAACTTTTTATAAATACAATCAACACTATCGAATTGTTTTTATTCCAAATTGTAATAAAAGTTTTAGAAGCAATAATCTTTTCATATTTGGCTGATTACGATTCTGACAACTGTCAGATTTAACTAAAATGTCATGCAAAGATTCGTGACATTCTTAAAATCCTATATGACTTCAAAATTGATGACGCACTGAAGGAAAGGTTTGTTTTGAACTTTATATTTTTGTACATCAATAAGTTTGAAGCAAAAAGAAAGCTGTGAATAAGAATTGATAATATAAGACTATTAAAAATAAAACTTACCCTTTGGAAGACGCCAGCGCCCCTGTTTCCAGCAGTGGTGCGTTTCATTGTTCTATCCTCATATCTTGTTCCACTTTGTGAAGCCATCGGGCGGTTTAAAGTACTGTTGGCATTGTTCGGTGAATTAGGTCCAGCGTTGCGTGCAGCTACTGTTTTTGTAACAAAATCTTGTTCTTTCCAGCCGTGCTTTTTGTAAACGTCCCTCAAATCTTGGTGTTGCCACATCGTGAACAGGACTTGTCCAGCGAATTTTAGTACCCTCGGAGTATATTTCTGTCGTTGCCTTGTAATAGTCATCAGTCTTTCTACACCACCTGCCTCTAGTAGAGATCTGGAGAATTCAGCGTTCTTTTTAATAACTTCGTTTAAGGTGGCTAAGACAGCAGCTATGGTGTCGTCAGAGGTGCCCTGATCATGCTGTGTGTTTCCTGACGGAAGTTTTTGGACAAGATCTCTCATGGCATACTTTCCTATGAGCTCTTTGTTGCGTTGATCAATGGCAAGGTTCCTAAGTGCTGTAGCCACTGCACATACCACCCTATCCACCTCCATACGCAGCAGCTCCACCAATATTGGGAGACCTTTCTCCTTACGTACTGCCGCTCGAATCTCTATACTAGGTTGCCAGTAACAAGCTGCCAAATTTTGAAGGGCTCCAGCTGCCGCCTCCAGGGTTTCTGGATTTGAACAACTTTGCAATAAAGCTAAATAAGATTGCACTACTTCTGGTTGCCAGAGAAGCTCCATCCCTCTAACTGGATCTCCTCTAGCGCTCGCGCTAGACATACTGCCTGGGGCTCCTGCGGAAAAATTGTTTTCCTTCGTGTCTGAGGACTGACTGTCTTTTTTCTTTTTACTTCCACCGAAGCAGCCCAAATTTTCACCTTAAAATTAACAGAATATTACTATAATTAACATTATATACACAGAAATTATTAGATTCAGATAAAAATTATTATAAAAAACAGAACAAGATTGAAAACTTGCAGTTGTCACTTTTTGTATGATTAAGAGAGTACAGCGCAAAATTTTCTTCTACTTTGACACAATGACTGTTTTTCTTCAGCATTAGTAATGGGGCTACACGGATATGAGCACAACTCTTATGAAAATTAATATTAGAAATCGCTAAGTCCATTCTGGTCATTTTTGGCTCATTCCGTGGTGGAGGCGCGAGGGAATATCAGATTGTGACGTGCAAGGTATCGATGGAAAAGGGAAGTGATAACGAATACGTTAAGATACAAATCAAACGCAAAGACTGTGCCAAAATGGCGTTACGTCATATCTCCATTCTTATTGGTCAGACCGTGACGTACGAGGGCTCGTTGGAACGGGGAGAGGGTAGCGAATACGTTAACACAAAAACAAACGCAAAATACAATGCCAAAAGGACACTAATCTTGTAACGTCTAAACAACTCAACGTACAACAACGTGCAAAGGTTCGGTTGAACGGGAAGAAGACGGGAAATACGTTAACACAAAAAAAAACAAAAACATTGTCAAAACGGCACTATATCGAATCTTCATTGCTATTGATTTTAGCATAGACATTGAAGGAAAGTGCGGCTAACAGAGAATGACAACATCGCCAAAACGGAGCTATCATATATTGGACCTATGCTTGAATGGGATTCCACGTCTATTACAGTTCATCATCTTGTCACGCCACCTATCGACTACATCTAGCACTTGTCATCCTAAAAATACACTCCTTCAGCCTCTCTCTCTCTCAAAATGTATTGTGAGTTGCATACTATATTTTATCTACGACAATTCGGGCAATATAAAAATCACCGAATACAAAACATAATATCACCCGACTTGCCGTATCACCATTTGTAGCCAGACCTGTATGCAAACTTCGTTCTTTTCTAGAATATTTTTCTACGAATATATTATTAGGAGTTAGACTATATTTTACAATTCTACAACTTCTACTTTTATCTATATTTCTATGGAAGGAAGCTTTTAATCCAAACTGACCATGACGCCCAAGTGGATAATGCAGTTGAAGAATCCAGAGGGTCAGATAGACAGATGAATTGAACAACTCCAAGAATACGATTTTAAGATTGAGCATAGGGCCGGAATTAGCCACAGCAATGGTGAATCTCTCTCTAGAAGTCCGTGCCAGCAGAGTGTTCCCAGTGCAACAAAACAGAATCCAAGGAAACAGCAGTGCTAAGAACAACGGTGGTCAACGAGAAGTGGACGCCTACTAAGATCAGAGAAGAACAATAGAAAGATCCAGTTTTATAGGAAATTGGAAAATGGAAAGAATACAACCGTTGACTGTTTTGGCAAGAAATATCAAACCTATCGTCAGTACTTAATTAAAACGTATTGGACCAGTGAAACTCCTTTATCATAGAAGAGGCTTGCTTAAGCGAGTACTGGAAAATGATAATGGTTCCTAGAACATAGTTGGTGATTTCAAAGAGCAGCATAGCCGAAGTACCTCATCAGTTAAATGACAGTCTATTTAGGAAGGCATTTCGGTATAAAGAAATATTTAAAGAATTCGGGAACGGTTTTATTGGATGAACAGTGTTAAGGACTGGTGTAAGAAATCTACTACTTGTGCTACGAGTAATGGACATTACCGAAAAAGAAAAGCTCCTATAAAACAATACAATGTTGGAAGTCCATTTGAAAGAATAGATTTGGACAATGCCGTGCCATTTCTGAAAATGGTTGCAAGTACATGTTGGTCGTGATGGATAACTTCAAGAAGTTGGTCGAGATCTACGCAATTTCAGACCAGAAGGCCGCCACTATTGAAGATGTGTTGATCAAAGAGTACATTAGCCGATTTGCAGTGTCTTTGGAGATCCGTAGTGACCAAGGAAGGATCTTCGGAAGGACCAGCGAATGAATAAGACAGTTGGCAATGATTTGGCAAAAATGGTGTCCAATCACCAGAAAAGACTGGGATCAGTACCTTCCGCAAGGTCCGCATATTAACCGATCCGCTGTTAATGTCAGCCAAATACCAGCAAAAGTCCTGTTTGGACGCGAGATGCGACTACCTTGCGATCTAGAGTTGAGATGAAGACCTGGAAATAAACCAAGTTAAGAAGTACCTGACCTCAAGAATTTGAGGAATTCGTGGGGGTATATGGAGGTACAAGTAAGGCAAGACATGGTATTACCATTGAAGAAAAGCAAGGTCTACTTGTACTTCCAGATAACTACTAACTGACCCATACCATTCCGGCCAGTATTAAAGACACACAATGAATGGTATCCATCTTTCCAGTGAATTTTGGTCTATTTGCAGAACTTAAATGACAACTCCCAGCTCCCGGAGAAGCTTTGAAACTCCAAGATGCACCACGTTACCTTATCTATCTGGTAACAAACGACACTGCCCATGACCAACCCACCTACAGTTAAAAGATTCTAAAGGTCATACACCGACTATAATGCTGCAGACGCCATCCCCCACCAGCACGTTTAGAATTTTTCAACTGTACCAATATGTATGGGAAACATTTCTTCAATTGAGGGAGTACGTGCTGGAATCTAAAGTGCAAAAATTAGCAATGCCAGCCAAAACTAGAATGTCGCCAGTTGGGTTGTCCGAAATATGGCGTAAGAAATATTTAGATACCAAGTCCAGACATGAGTCTGTTGTAACCCGCATTGTTACCAATGCGGAACGAAGAACGTCACTTGCCATTTTTATACAACTGGGAGATTTATATGAACATGAGGCTATTGATCGAAGTCTACAGCTGTTCTGACGTCGCGAGAGTTCTACGGAATTCTAGAAATATGCCGATAAAATGAGGGGACTATAATATAAGGCAATTAGATTTAGCGCCAATTGTTCGAACGCTAATCAAAACTTGATTGTAATCAAATATTTAATTAAAATTAAATACGTCACATTTTGGGGTTATGTTTTATTTGACTGATTTATTTTATTCAATTTTATCATTTTGCGTTATAATTTAAAATAAATCATAATTAAGCTCTTTACGATGTTAACTTCATGTTTTTATTAACAAATCAATAATAATAATAAGCAATTTTTAATAATTTTAACAGCTGCTGTGAATAATTAAATATTTGATTATAATCAAGTTTTCGGCCCTTAGTCTAATAAATAGATTTGTACGGTTAAATAAATAAATGCTATAAATTTATCGTATTTTAGTGATAGTGTTAGAAGACTACTATTAAATAAACATTATAATAATATAAACTTACCTTTAGATGAGGTAGCGGCAACCCTAGTTTGAGTTGGTAAAGGATTCTTATCATAGTTTGGATCCTCAACCTCTTGACATCGATACGACAGATTACGTAGAATGCACACAGAATTTTCTACAATTTTATTGCCTATATTTGACTTATCTATGGCACAGCGCACAACAAAAAGTAATGCATCAACTAAACCTTCACACTCTCTTAATTTTTTTCTAGCATATTCTCCAGCAGAACTGACATTTCTTAGCACACCAGAAGCGTTTCTGAATACTGTGGACCAACAAGTCTCCCCATGATTTCCTTGTGGATCCCAGCCGGAATGTGGAATTATAATAAAAGTAACAATGGTTATTACTCCGTCGTCTATTATGTTTCTCTTGAGGTCTTCACACGATGACATGTTCCAGATGACACCAGTGACCAGTTCCTTTATTTCAGCCTCATTTGATCTTCGTAATAAATTGATCAGAGCAGGAATACCGCCTGCATTCTTAATGGCTCTTTTGTTTTCGTCGTTTTGTCTGCCATAAGACAAATTTCTTAAAGCTCCGCAAGAGTTCCTATACACCTCAATACTGTCATGACACAATAATTTAACTAAGGGGGGTATGCCGCCTAGAGCTCTCGTTTTTTGTTTGTTAGGATCATCCATATAACACAGATGTTGTAAATAGGCTGCCGCATTGGCTTTAATCACATTGTTTGGGTTGTTGAGGAATCCAATGACTTCAGTAAGATTGGGATCACGCCAACGCATGCCCCTTTGATCTTCGTCTCCGCCAATACTACCAGGAGAAGCTATATTATGTGCCCTATCATGGGTCAGTCCAACATTGTGACCGTGCAGGGACATCTTACTGACATGCTTTTGAAGATCCTCGTCCTCAAACAATCTCATGGTGGCTCCTACTGGTACAGGTCCATTAATACTATCTACATAAGGTCTAGAAAGACTAGGCGCAGTGCCATAAGGAGAAGGTGAAACATAACCATACACTACGGCGGAATCATCTTGGTAGGGATCTATACCTATTGGTCCACCGGGCGATGGAGTGACCCTGTAGTGTTCAGGTAGTTCATCGTAACCTGAACCAACGTAGGCAGCATTAGGCTGAGACGTCAGAGGCAGAGGAGAGGGGTCAACACTATGTTCACTAGGACTAGGTGGAGTGGGGGGTCTTTCAGCTCCCGCGGCGTAACCCATATAGGCACCGTAAGGGTTCGGATAGTGGTCATAGTCTTGGTAATGGGGGTGTTGATGATACTGTGAATACATATGATGTGGTGGTTGTTCAATGTAGTCAACGTATTGAGAAGGATGGGAATATGATCCCAAGGAAACCGGAATGTATTCTCCTGCTTGATCGTCTAACTGTTGTACTTCTCGTACGACCTTAGTCACAGTCGTCACTTGTTGAGTCGTCTGTTGCTTTTGATTTCTCACTAGTGGCTCGTCGCTGTGTACCGACATGTGGCTCGAATTTGGCGAATGCTCCGACTGTCCATTACTATGTGGGTGATACACACCGTCACTCAGAGTACTCGAAACATCTGGGCCTCTGTGGAAACAAAATCACTCGGTTAAATATACAAATTAATACGATAAAGTATCTTAAAATTAAAAAGAATTTCATGCAGCTTCAACTTACTTGTAGTGCTGCATATCGGGGCCCTGTTCTTGTAATATTCTCCTAAAAATAACACAAAATGAATATGATTTAATAAATAGATGTAAAAATAAACCAAAACCAATGTTAACTGGATGTTACAATGCACCCTCTACAATTACTTTGATCCGATTCCCAGATAAAAATTACTAAAAAAATTCATGATAAGAACTTCTAAACTTATTAATTGAAGGGCTTGGGGGAAAAAGGTAATAAGCCACATAAATCTAAAAGATACCTGGAAGTGTGCAACGAAACTGCTGATTAATTATTTCAGCTATTGATAAAGAGATGGCGCCTCTATACGCGAATTTCTTTCTTAAAAATTGCCAAAATTTAGAACTTTTTGGTTAGAAAAGGAACATGCCACAGGCGATTTTCAAGATGAATGACTATAGATTACGTCGAGCTAAAAGAAAAGTTGATTTTGAGAGTAGTAGTGGAAGTGAATTCTCTGATTTTGATTCAGATGACGATCTGAATGATAAAGATTACAGTGTTACTGAAAGTGACTGTTCAACAGGAGTTACACATATATTGGTAAGTTTATTTCTATGCGGCTTATTCCCTTTTTTAGCAAAAGATTTTGTTATTTTTAAGCTTAATATAAAATTTCATATTTTGCCTTTACGTACAATACGTCTAGATAATGCAGTAATGTTGTGTAACTATGATGTGTACTGCGTTATATCTCCGGCTGCAGTATTTTTGTTCATATGTCTAGCAGAATTTCTACGAAAAATGTGTGTGGCTTATTACCTAATTGCAAAAAAATATACATCTTTTTTTTTCAGGACGAAAATGAGTACAACGATCCCTCGGATCAGAAAAAAGATATTTATAGAGGGTATCTAAGTTTTCCAGAAAATTCAACGCCCTCACGCTGGAGAAAAGTTCATTCTAAGAAAAGTGACCGGGAGAAAACAAGAAGAAATCTGGGCCATGGGTACAAAACATACTAAGGGACTGAAATGGAGCCTAAAGCTATTGGAGAACCATGTAAATGCAAACACAAATGTAGAACAAGCCTGATGGGGAAAGAAGAAGAAATTTTTCATGCATTTTGGAATTTGGGGACTCGACAGCAACAAAATAACTACTTATTTGGTAGAATAAAAGGAATTCCCAAAAAAGAAGTTACCCAAAAAAAATCAAACGCCAAACATCTTGTAGAAGTGTATCATTTAAATATTATATAAAGATTAATGCCACCGACAAAGAAGTATGCAAATCTGAGTTTTTGGCAGTTCATGGTCTCCAGCAGTCAAAAAGTATTTGTTGCCAAATAAAGGAAGGGAAGTCTACTCCAAAAACGGATAAGCGAGGAAAACATATGAATAGAAAAAACAAAATATCTGAAGAGAGAATTCTGTCCATCCATCGACATATTCAAGCAATACCCAAATATTTCAGCCATTACAGCAGGCAAGATAACCCCAACCGCACTTACATCAATCACGATTTGTCCATATCACCTTTATATACAGATTATTATATAAACTCGGTTTCATCGTTCTTGGCGTGTGCCTGAAATAAGCTACTACGGAATTTTTAATATTCGTCTCTCTCTGATACACAGATGCGTAATTTAATTGTTCGAGTCACGTTCGTCATGGTAAAGTGCGATGAGAAGGGAATGAAGAGACCACTCACGTCTCTCAGCATTATAGCAATAACACCGATGCGTTTGGCCGATACGGTGTCGGTGATAAGTTCAGCCTCTTTACGAATACAGATAAGTAGCTGCCATTGGAGGAGGTAAACGAATCGAGCTTAGACAAGGAAAGACAGATGAAACAACTTATTGCAAGTGTTTTTACACGCACACGCTAAGAAAGATGAAAACTTCTATACCTTGGTGCAATGCCAAACATATTGTCTCAATGAAAGAAAATTATTACAGAACAGTTTTTTGCTCGCAATATAATACAGCATTTAAACTGCCAAAACGGATACATGCCAAACATGCGATTCATACAATGTCTCGCTCGAATCAAATAAAGAAAATGCTGAAGAATGTCAACAAATTAAAATAAAGTTAGAGTTGCATCAAAGAAGGGCTGAGGCGATGCAACAGGACTTGATAAAAGAGTCTGCACATGGCAAATTAACAGATGAAAAGGAAGTAATTTCATTTGATTTACAACAGGCGTTGTCAGTGCCGAATTTGACTGTGGGAAAAAGCATTTTATTTGAGAAAGGCATAGATGTACAATTTGGGCATCCAGAACTGCAACAGAGAGCAGGTACATGTTGACTTGGACCGAAAATGTGGCAAAGAAGGGTAGTGATGAAATTGCCAGTGCACTACTGAAATATATCGAATTGTTCCTAACAAATATGACAATAAAGAGCTTATCATTTACACCGATAACTATGAGGGTCAAAATAAAAACTGGGCTCTGATGTCAGTATTTATGCAATTCTCTCTCTTCAATCCTGACCCCCCAGGGGGAGTGTAGTGGTCGACGTGATGTCGTGTATTGTCCGCCTCCAGAGATCTCTGTCTCTGGTCATTTCTTTGCTCTCATAACATGCCCAAAATATTTTAATTGTTGGAGATGGACTTTACTAGAGAGTCGTTGGCTCACTTTTAGCTCTCTTAAAATTGAATTATTTGTTCTACGGTCGGTCCAAGGAATTCGTAACATTTGTCTCCAACAGAACATTTCAGTGGCGTCCATCTTTCTTCTCTCCGATTGTCTCAGAGTCCAAGATTCACATCCGTAGGTCAGTATTGGGAATATTAAGCAGTTGATCAACCTCACCTTTATCGCTCTTGAGATTTGTCAGTCCTTCCATATTTTGGTCATTTTTGCTGTGGCAACTTTTGCTAGTTGCTTTCTGACTAGTTGCATTTATGCAACTAGTCAGAGAAAAACAGTTTTTGGCTATCGAACATCGTTTTCTTGTGAGTGGGCATACGCGCTTACCCTCAGATCGTGATTTCGCCCTAATTGAAAAGAAAAAGAAATTTACGGCACAAATCTATCATCCCAATCAATGGTGCGACATATTAAGAAAAGCCAAAAAAACCAATCCATATGAAGTTATCAAGATGCAACAAAAATATTTTATTTCCTTTGACGACCTGTAAAAGCAAACTAACAAAAAAACAGACGACAGACGAAAAAGAATCTCTACGTTTTAGTCAAAATAGATGTTTTAGATTTGAGGCGAATAAACCCAACACAATGCTTGAAAAACACTTTTTAAATGAAGAATTTAAATCGGTCAATATTGATAAGCGAGGAGTAAAAGATGGAAATCGAATAAAAAATGTAAGAGATCTTCCTCCAAAATATACCACATCTGTACCTCTTGACGAAAATAAGCTAAAAAATTTATTCTTATATTCTTATATAGCTTATATTCCTTTAGTTTATCACGACTTTTACGATGAGCTGGGCGTTCGACAACAGTCAACAGACCTCGCAGAAGATCCGGAAACGGAGAATTTTGACTTGGACTTGGAGTAAAATAGAAACATCGTTTTAGATAAGAACATTTTACAACAATGTTTTTGTAAAAAAAGGAGTAAGCCACGTTGGTCAAGAAAAATATTTTTTCTCTTTTAATTAAGAGTTCCGTTTGTTTCTTTTTAGTTTGTAAATTGCTTATATTCAGAATAAAGCTTCATTAAAAAAAAAAAAAACATTGTTGTGTTATAATAAAAAAATCTGATTTAATAATTTGATTGTAAGTTTCAAACTAGGTTGTCTCCATTTTCTACTTTTGTGGCTTATTACCTTTTTCCCCCAAGCCCTTCAATTATCACATTATAAATATATCAAAAATATTTACATAAGGATAAGAAAAATGGTGATGAAATGAGTCAAATACAAGCCTACCTTTGGGTAATTTCTGTATGTGTGATGCTATGTTCTCGCCTTTGTTCCACCCTCCTATTGACCAAGCTGCCGTGATAAAAGCATAAAATTGTTTAGCCAAGCAAGTAAATGTTAGGACAAAACATGCAAATAACAAAAATACAGAATAGTTCATAAAACAAGTAACCAGATCAATAAATCTTTTTGATATTATAAATATCAAATTAATATTAATTGCTTGGGTATCGTCAGTTTTTTAAGTACAGTGCAGTCCCGATATAACGAACCCCGATATAAAGAAAACCCCGACATAACAATTTTTTTAAATCTCCTTCAAACGTCCATAACACTCAATGTAAAAAATACCCTATATAACGAACTATTTCGGTTCTATTCCTCGATATAACGAATTTTTACGATTTGCGGAAATAAATTAAAACCCCTGTATAATGAATATTGAGTGTAGCAAAACCCTACATAACGCACGAAACCCCGAGATCATCCTGGTTACGTAGTTGAAACCAGGCAACTAGGCCACCTCGTTTAGGGAGGGGTATGAAATAAATACAAGGAAAACGATGATTATAAAGCTATTATATTTTTTTTCTCCCGTCTTTGTTTATTAAATTTTTGCTGCGTGATGCGTCTGCAGCTTCGCTGGTCCATACACTATTAGGCTCGAGTGAAAAACTGTTGCTTAACAGTTGCATAACATTTTTCATTTTATGAAAATCAGCAAATCGTTTTTAAAATTCCAAATCAAGTTTATTAATAAAACATGAGAACTATGTAACATCAATATCTTTATTACTATCACAAACGGATTTAAGAAGAGGAAAATGCAAAAGTTCTGCCTTAATATCCTCAGAAAAAGTTCAATCTTTTTAGAAAAACTTCTAATATCCGACAGAAGCTCACAAACAAGTTGTCCCTTACATTGTAGGTTTAAATTCAAGAAGTTCAGATGTCTGAAGATATCCGCCAAAAATGCGATAGTTGCAAAGTTTTCTGTGTCCAAGAGGAAGCCTAAATGGTCATTTGCAGCTTCATTCAGCATCAATAGCTGCAGCAGCATCAATAGTGGACAGAAATTATTTTTTTTGTTTAGTATTAAGAGTATTTCTGTATAGTGTTAGTACTGTGCATTTTAAAAATATAAAAATATTTATATATTTAGATTTGATTGTAATTTTACACTATAATTTTATTACTATATTTTAAATTTAACGGCGGTCCGCAAAAAACAAGCTCAAGGTCCGAATGAGGACCGCGGTCCGCCATTTTGTGACTCACGGACAAGTCCAGACATGAAAACAATGTGACCTGCTTCCCACCTCTTAACCCTAGAACCATCAGTCAGTCAGTGTTGAACTTTACACTGTGTTTACACTGTGATCAGTACCTAAAGTACCTAAAGATTTGAGTATTATTATCGTACAGTACCTACATCGAAGTGTAAAGTTTTTTTTATTTTGTGTTCATATTTGCTATGTCGCAAAAACACAGTAAAAAAGCGGTTACAGTAGAATTTAAATGTAAACTGATACAATTTGTTGAAGAAAATCCCCAAAAGAGATCCCAAAATTTGCAAAAAGGGCTAAGAAAGGTGAGCTACAGGATGTCGAAGAAGCTGTTATTAAGTGGTTTAAACAGTGTCGTGATAAAAATGTACCCGAGGTCCCGTACTTCATGAAAAGGCTCAACAGTTTGCAGAACAATTAGGGCATGTAGACTTTTGAACCTGTAATGGCTGGTTGGATCGGTTCAAAACGAGACACGAAATTAGTTTCAAAAAAGTTTGTGGTGAAAGTGCTACTGTGGATGTTGTAACTTGCGAATATTGGAAAGCTAAATTGCCAGACTTGACCCGTGGATACAATGCAGATGATATCTACAATGCTGATGAGACAGGAATTTTTTTTAAGTGCCTATCGGACAAAACGTTAGTGTCGAAAGGAAATACTTGCAAAGGGGGCAAAAACAGCAAAGATCGTTTGACAGTCTTACATTGCACTAACTTATCCGGTACAGATAAACTGAAACCTCTCGTCATAGGAAAATCAAAAAAAACCCAGATGTTTCAAAAACGTATCAACCATACCAACAGATTATACAGCTAATAAAAAAGAATGGATGACCGGAGAGGTCTTCGGTGACTGGCTGAAACAAACCAACAACGCGATGAAAAAGAAGAAGAAATACATTCTTTTATTTATCGATAATTGCACTGCACATGGAGATATTCCAGTGCTAACAAACATTATTCAAACACAACGTTCAAACTCCAACTACTTGATCAACGAATAATACAAAATTTCAAAATCAAGTACAGAAGTCCGTCAATTATTGAAAGACTTGGAATGTCAATTTCCAACCAAAATTAGTGTGTTAGATGCTATGTGGATGTTTACAAAGGCATGGATCAATGTTAATAACAAAACTATTGTCAACTGTTTCAAGAAAAGCGGCTTTCAAGGTCAAGGCGGCTTTCGTGACCAAAACCCAGATGAAGACAATCCAGAAGTTCAACAACCAGAACCGATTGAAGGATGTTGGGAACAGAGCGAGGGAGGCTCTAAACGTGGCTCTAAATCGCATCTTCCGTGGCAGGGGAGCAAGAAACAGTAGAAGAAGCAGAAGACGACGTGGACGAAGAACTCGTTAGTCAACCAGATTTTACATCAAAGGACGTAAGAGATGCCCTCAATGTATTAAAGTGTTATTTTATAAAAAAAAATGCTTTAGATGATAGTGTTGTTAAATCTATCACTGTGGTGGATTGTGAAATGAATAACCGAACACAACAAGGTAAACAATCAAAAACTACTGACTTTTTCAGCGGTAATCAAGCTACTCAATAACGATGGACACAGATGGACGTAGTAAAAGTAGTTTTTTATTTGTTTAGTTTTATATTACATTTCCAACATGAATTTAACTTTGTTAAACACGAAAATAAGTCTGCAGGCCCCGGAGGGAGAGCACCCGAGCGAATTAAATACGGTTCTGAAAAACTATCCGTATGATACATACATGTTTCAGAGAGCCTTGAACACTGAACAACAACCTGAAGAATGGTCGACAGCCCGTATCATCTCTATTTTCAAGAAAGGGGATAGAAGAAAATATGAAAATTACAGAGGCTTAAGCATTTTACCATCTATAGGAAGATTATATGGAAAAATAATAAAGGAAACAATAGAAAAACAAATCCAAAATAAAATAGAGGACGACCAGGAAGGTTTTACAGCTGGGAAATCATGTGTTGACCACATCTACAATATACAACAGCTAATAGAGAAGAAGATGGCAAAGAACAGACCAGTCCATCTAGCCTTTCATGACCTTAACAAGGCATATGACTCTGTGCCCAGACAACGACCGTGGAAAGCCATGCAACAAATAGGAGTAGATAAGCTGATCCATGTAGTGAAGTACATGTACACACATAATAATGTTACAGTCAAGGTAGGTAACAAGTTTGAAAAACCATTTAAAACCACGAAAGGTCTCCTACAGTGCTGCTCGACTTCACCTACACTCTTTAAAATATTTTTCAATACGCCCTAAAGCCATGGAAAAGGAAATGTGAGGGAATGGGAGTACCGATAAGGAACGACCATCTGTATACCCTCAGTTTCGCCGACGGTCAGGTCATAATAGCACAAGATGAGGAAGATCTAAGTTATATGGTTCGAAAACTAGAAGAATATAATATAAATGGTCTGGAAATAAACAGTAACAAAACAGAATATCTGAACACAACACAAGAACCAACAAAAAACCTGGAAAAAGTGGATGACGGGCGTGAAATAAAGGACACCGATAAATTTAAATACCTGGGGTTCATTATATCAAATAAAGGTACTACAGAAGAAGAAATTATAAAAATATAACAATTTATAACACGATGATTCGCATCATTCTAACATGGAGCAGAAAATTGGGTCTTAAACCAAAGCAGCAGAAACAAAATAAACGCCACAGAAATGGACTACTCGAGAAGAAGCTGCAGAAGTTTCCAGAATGGACAAAATAACTAACGACGAAATCCAAAGACGAATGGAGAAAAAGAAAGACACCTTAAATTACATTGAAGAAAAAAGATTAACGTGGTACGGACATGTCGGACGAACAGACCCAAACCGATGGATAGCAAAAATAACAGAGTGGAGCCCCATAGGAAAACGCAAAAAGAGGCAGACCAAGAAGGTCTTTCAGAGATGAGGTAGATGAAACCATGGAAAGAAGAGGATTGGAAGACGGAGAATGGGAGGAAAAAGAAGAATGGTTGAGGGAAGGGAGACAGCGACAGCTGTAGGAACCCCTTTCATATATACTTTGTCAAATAAATTACGTTATTCTCAAAATATTCAGGTTTTTTCCTCTGTTTTTGGTAGCGTGCTTTCTAAGTTAAGACACAAGTCTACAGGTATTCTATAAGTCATAATTTGTTAAACTGAGGTTAAGTGATGAGAAATTCGTTATATAGAGGTTTGAATTCAGCTTTATGAACCCCTTTATAACGAATATTGGTCACATTTAACCTGGATGGAAAAATCAGGAAAAACTTATGACATTTGTTTGCAATACTTTTTTGTTTTATTATCGATATCAAACTCCATTTCATTTCATACCTCATTAAATAAGTTGTTTTTTTTAATAACTGCTGTATATTGATTATATAACCACATAGAAAAGACCCTAGTGGCCAAAGAAATACATATTGATCTTTTCGTTAACGTAATACTTTCAAATCATCACTACAAATATTGGATATATGTCTGTCCCCAAGGAGAAGAGTTATCGACCATGCTGAAATAATTATTTGTTGATGATCAACTGATAAAAATGCATTGCATGTTTTACAATTCAAGGTTGTGTAGATGATCTGGCCGTCACGATTATGTGCATACTCAAAACCCCAAAACAAATTTATACACATACTGTAAAATTGATACTTCTACTATTTTAGTAAGGTCACAGCAGTATTATAGGTAATGCAAGTGTGGATTGTGAAGCAAAAGAAGCTTGTAAATCAGATAAATTTGTAGAAATCTTTTCTTATACTGACTTAACTACTAAAT